TTAGGATTAGATTTGGATTTGTGTAAATAAAAGAAACTTTTGGCTTATGATCTGTAAACAACTGTTGGATGCTAGATCCAAGTTTTAAGAGTTCATATTCTGTTAATGCATGTATGATAATTGTACATTCTCTCATAAGTGTGGAGAGTCTGAATTCTGCTTGTGTGAAAAATCTTGAATATGCTGATATAAGGTTCATTTAATTGGTTCCTTGATGAGATTGTAAAAAACTTGCACCGATTTTAAAATTGAAAGCATCGAACGTAGCGTAGAATGCTTGATTTGACTCTGGAATTGTATTTGAATTTTGTTCTGAGATAAGGGTTCTAATTTCATCAAAGCTTTTCTGATGTTCTAAGGTCCATTCAAAATTATTTTGTTGTCTAAGAATGTTGTTGATTGGTCTGAGATATAGTTGCATCAAATAAACAAATTTACTTTAAAAGTTTAGCATTCCAAGGAATTCTTAGACTTTCTTTTTATTGGATGGTGGTTGGAGTTTTAAAATTGCATCGACTTGGGATTTTAATGATGTTATTGTGATGCCTTCAAAAATATGTCCAAAAAAATTACACGAGTGAAGAAAAAGTGTGATTTATCTGGGGCTCTAAAATCGTTCTAGAAGCTCCAAAATCGTTCTGTCTTGTTTCTTTTTCTAACATGAATTGGTGGTATTTGTCTATAACTTTGAACATTTTTTTCGTTTTCTTTGTGATTGTACGAAAACATCGTCAAATATGTATTCATGTTTTTACTTACAATTAGTGGCCTAAAGTTCGTTCTTATAAAAGCAGAAAAGTGTGCTGGTCGCATAGATAAGCCGGAAAGTAGTCTTTGAATTTCGTGTTGTTGTTTTCCAATAACAAATTGTGTCAGTCGACATGAATGCTCGTCTAATGGCTTTTGATTATACGCACTATTCATATCTGCGAAGGTATAATAGTGTCCATTTATTCTTGTGAGTATTATTTGTATTGGTTCTATTGCATTTCTATTGCCAATTGCAATTTGATTCATCAATTAGAGAGTTCAAATAACGTGCATCTAGAACGAATTTGAGTGATTCTCTTTTAGATAGAAAAAAAACTAGATTTATAAATGTGTTTTTTTTGGATTGCTGTTTTTTGTTTACTGGTGAGTTAGTTTCATATTGTTCTAGAATGTCAAAAAGTCTGTTTACTTTGTCTTACAAGTATATTGGAACTTTTCTTGGGCGTTGTTTTTTGTAAACTGCGTCTGGCTTAAGTAAAATGTGTAGTAGTGACTGAAATTTCCAACATCAAATTTTGATGTTGCATAAACTATGAGATTTTTTAATAATAATTCTGCTCATTTTTCAAATTCTGGCTGATTAAACTAAGAATGTTGAAAATTTAACGTTGTCAGAATATATTGTTGTTTATCAGTGTACATTTTGAGATTTGAAAGGTTGGTTTAAAAAAGAACTTTTTTCGAACTATTCTGTGTTTCGTGTTAAATCATTTTTAATTTTATTAATGGATAGTCCTTCACTAAGGATTGTTGATTGAAAGATATCTAATAGTTTTAAAATGATTTTTACTCTTTATGCTCTTTCTTGTGTAGGGTGAAGTGTTGCGTTTGTTTGGCATTAACCTAAACCCCTAAACGAAAAGCAATTCTGTATGTTGAACTGTTTTATATGTGTAATGCTATTGTATCTGTAAGGCTCTATCCTTAGTGTGTCAAAAAGCAAAAACAGACATTTTCTTTAAGGTTCGGTATAATTTTAACTTTGTAAATTTGACAAACCTACGAGCCAGATAAAATTCTAACATACTTGATTTTGTTCACAAATTTAGCATGAGTCAATTTCAAAGCCAAAATTTTTTATTTTTGTATCGAAAATATGGGGGTAGGGATTGTGGCGGAAAAAACGAGTGAGCCACAAAAAACACTGGAAACTCCAGAAAAGAGGCTTGGGCGTTTGAGTGCAATGAGTTTGAATAATATACCTTTTATTTCAGCGCAAAAGTAAAAACAATTTTTAATATTTTGACTCGCCAAACTTCGCAACCTTTTGCGACACTGCTTTCTGAGCTATATTCATCCTAGAAACCCTGCATTTTCTCATGCCGGTCAAGCAAAATTTTCTACCAGCTCGCATTTCACCGCTGGGAGCTACGAAATTAGCAACATTGACAAGCATTCCAACTTGACATGGCTAACTCCACCATCAGCTTTGGGTTGTAACTCAGTACTTTTCAATGTCATCAAACCAGGAACTGCCATCTCAAATTTGAATTTGGTCATCAACCCTTGTCGAAATTGCAAAAACTCGCAATGTTATTGTCCAAGATGTTGTTGTCTGATAAACATTGATCCGAACTTGCGGTTTTCAACAGGAAATGTTGATGAGTTTTGACACTCAATTCCTTCAAGCAAAAAAAGTGTTTCTTTCAATTTTTCAATTACCAAATCGATATTTCATTTTCTATTTTTGCCAAATCGATATTTCATTTTCTGTATTAGTACCTCGCCCCTTGGCTAATTTAAGCTTCGGCCAAGGCTCACAATATTCAAGATGTGAATATGCGGTGAAACGCTTCACGCCACGAAGTTTCGCGACCTCAATAAAGTCGTATCTAGTTGAACGCTTCATTTGAAAAATTTTTGATAATTTTATCGAGGCATTTCTGGTTTTTTAGTTTTTGTTTGAATTGTTTGGAGTTTATTCAAGTCACTATAAGTTTGTTCTAATAGACGCTTGCTCAATTCGTTTTACTTCCTATGGCGTGCTCAAATTAAAAAAAACACTTCGGTCACTTCTGTGTTTGGGTTAGTTTTGTCTGATATGGCGTTGAAACGTTGAAAGAGTACAGTTAAAGGTCAAAATGTTAGCAGCTTTTTTGAACAACAATAACTAGTTTATTTTACTCATTTTTACAAAAAAAAAACATATTCATAAATCTGTTGCTGTTCTCAAAATCAATGATGCTCAATGATAATTCTGGTATTGTAATTTTGACGTGCCATTGAACAAGAAAAAAATTGAACAAAACTATTGCGCTTATTCAACGGCTTCGCTTTTCAACTTCATAGCTTTTTTTTTGTAAACTTAACTCAAAAACAGACGTGAATACTTTTAATTGTTAATATTTTTAGAAGTCAAATTTTTCGTGGTTTTCTTCGGTTATCAATTTTTATGTCGGTAATGAGTTGTTCAGTGCAATTATATTTTACGTCGATAACCAGATATTTACACAAAATCTATATCCCGTAAACGGAGTAATCTAAAAAGATGTTTTTCAACTGAAACTTCTTTAAAAACTGTGCGACATCAACTGCTTTTTTATACAAAAGTTGTTATTTTGTTCAGTGCAAAAACCTGAAAACACATCTTAATTTTGACACGAAATTTTGGATTAGTCTGCACATCAATAAAATTTGATTTCACATCGTTCCGGCAACTCTTGGGTCGTGGAAATATACCCCTCAGGTAGAATAATTTCAGGTAGAATGTTCACGATTTCAGGTATGTCCCAAAAACCGTAGAATTACTAGCAAAAAACGGCTAGTATGAAAACAAAATCGTGAATAAAAGACCAGGAACTAGCATTTTTTACAATACCGCACTTCGTAGAGTACCACTACCAGTATCCTGCCTGGGGCGGAGTAAGTTTTTGAGTGCTAGTGATTTAGCGGAAAATTCGAGATCAAATATACGCTGATATTTTGTGCAGCGGTATACATACCATACCTAAAATTCAGGTGTAAACCGGATCCCCACTTACAATTTTACATTGTAATCAAAACTCCCAAGATTGGTTCCCGACTTTTCAAATTGCCACAATGAGGATTCTCCAAATTTCCATGTTCCGGATTCCGCGTGCAAAAAGGGAGGTTTTTAAAAACTTTTATACGTCACGATGTCTGTTGCGTAGTGAATTTTCAGTTGCGCAGAAAATTTTCGAGGGGGCGAGATCTATACGCATTGTTTTCTCTGATTAAGTATCAAACAAAGATTTCACTAAAATTTGGGATTTTGATTGAAAAAAGAAAAGACTTTACATTACACTGGGCTGATTCAAAAAGTGAAGCAATGACAGAATAGGTGAAGTAAGAATAAAAAGTTTACTCTTGTGCCGGAATGTAACCCCGCACTGGAGAATACTCACCTTCTCCCGTCTTTGCCACTGTAGCTTGGAAGAACTCTAATGCCACCAACAAACACAGCAGCTAGAGATGTTAATAAACAGCCAATTCTAAGCAGCAAAGCTGCCACCAAACAACCCTACAATTTGCTGCTTCTACACTAGAACATCCTCGTATCTGCGCCAAGTCAACTGAAACTTTTTTTAAAACTAGCCACCAAAGAATGAAGCAGCTACAGAGGTTACTTGATTGCCCAAGCTTTGCATTGAAGCAAAAATGCCGCCAAAAGAGCCTTTTCATTTGCGAGTTAGGTTGGAAAAAAGTATGCATAAAGACACACCTCTCGCCAGCATATACATAGCCTTTTTTAAAAATTTAAAATGTCAATGAATTCTAAAAAGAATAAAATAATTCTTTTTTGAAAACTCAAAAAAGATATCAAAAATCTAAAAAATCAATTCCTTTTTCAAACCTTCGCTGACAAAACGACCAGGACTCGAAAAGAAGAGGAAAATTATGTGTAAAATATGTTTACGGAGAAAAAGCCTAGTCCTGATTACAATACACTTTCAGTGTAAAAATTGTAAATTATGAGTCAGTTCACAAATATTAAGGAAACAATTTTACAAATAATAATTTGCACTAAATTCTAATTTAAATTAACAAACAAAACATTGTAAAATGCTTGACTGTGCATGGGGTGGCGGAAACCAAGCCGACGGGACTTCACGTCGAATTGCAATTCAGGACTTCAGGCCAAAAATTTTGGAAAAATGCGAGAAATCGTAGGCTAAAACCACGTAATTTGCTGTTTTACTCATTTTTATTATTGTTTTAAGAAAGAAAAGAATGTTTCAGCAAATAGCACAATTTACACTCAACTTTTCAGTTTAGAAGTTAATCATTTCAAAATTGCCTCGAAAAAACGGATCAGCTAGTAGAGAGAAAACGTATTTTAGCAATGCTTTGATGCAATAGAAAAGTTTGAAATTTTATCTGAGATCTCTTCGGCGTAAAGTCCCGTCGTCTTATTGACCTAGCACCTCTGTCACTGATATGTAGGAATCACAACGAGTGGAACATTAGGAATTCAGTTTGAGTTCTAACGGGAGGCGACCCATCTTCTAGATGTATCAGGAGACTTCTCGTACAGCAGAGTTGTCTCAAATCCAGCCGGGAAATTTCGCACCAGTAGTTCTAGTTTCACATGTGACTTGAGATAATTATGGGCTTCTTGGAAACTGATTGACCTGAAATCCCTTCCGTTCACTTCTATCAACAGATCTCTCACCCTCAGACCGTGCTTCTCTGCCAAAGTGCCCTTCAGCACAACAGCCACGAAAACTCCACAGTTTAGATTATAACTGAAATCAACCACATGGATGACAATACAAGCAATACAAATTCAGAGCAAAACAAACTTTGAGCCTGCATTTTCTCTTAAGATACATTATCACACGCAAAAAAAGTTACGAAGCGGTAACTACGTAGACGAAACCGGGATAAATGGTCCTAAAAATACATAATGGGGATTTTAAAAGCAGAAAATGTTTGAGATTAAATTAATATTCCTTTATACAATGGATACTATTATAAACCAGAGCAGCAACTTAGAGGTCTTTAAGAAGACCATTGGGAAGATCCAGGATCCTAATATTCGATCCGTTCTTGATTTTCTCTTACAACAAAATTCAGATAAAGATCAAATAATTACCAGATTACAAAACAAAATTACAGACCTTGAGGTGAGAGTATGTGGACAGGAACGCTACACATCAAAGGACTGTGTTATTATGGAGAATCTACCATTGGTTGATGATAAAGGTTTGACACTCTCTCAACAGGTTTGCAACTTCTTACGAAACTTTTTGAATTATGATACGACCCCGAGCAATTTTAAGGCTTGCCATTTTTTGGGACCCTGGAGAGACCTTAATCGCCCCCCAGCTGTCATCATCAAATTCATATATTTCGAAGAAAAAAACGAGGTTTATTCGAGAAGGAGTTGGTTAGCGAGTGTAAAAAAATCCTATAAATGGGTATTCGATATTTTTTAAAGAACGGCTACCTCAAAACGATCGTGACATAAAAAAGTACGCGGATTCCCTGGGTTTAATCACAACCACCTCTAATTGTCAGGTGAAAGTTTATCAAAAAACGGAAGAGGGCAAATTTTTTACGGTTAATGTGAACTCGACAAAGGCTGTTGACGATATTTGTGTGAGAGCTGTTAAACGACATACAAAAAAAGATGTGGTTGAAAACTCGTGTACAACAGATCAAATCTATATTCCAAAGGATACTGATGGTGAAATTAGAAATTTATTGAAAAGGCTGCGGGACTCTCCGGAAGAAAGAGCTGGTGTTGAGTTACTAACTGATTATATTCAATTACGGAAAAAACCGCAGAGAGATAATACTGATGACAAACTTGTTGGAGCGAACAAAGCACTATTTCAACCTGAAAATTCACACAATGCAGAATGTTAAAGGAGAAGTGACTTCTATCTCATAAAGTCAAAGAAATACTTTTAGTTTTTGTTTAAAGGGTACAACCTGGTTATCCTAATGGAGAAAAGTGGAGATGTTTTATTTTTAAATGTGCAATCGTTGCGTAACCATCATGACCAGCTATGTGTACTTGTTGCTTCACTTTCAATTAGGCCGGCAGTAGTTGCGTTATGTGCAACTTGGCTCAATCAAAACGATGAAGTTAATATTTATGGACTTGATGGGTACCACAAAGGAGTTTTCATTAATCGTCCTAACAGAATTGGAGGGGGAGTGGCCTTCTTTGTAAGAAATGACCTGGATTTTTCATATACTGTGCATGAAAATGAAATTGAGCATGTAATGGTTAAGTTTTTGAATTCTTCGGGCAAAAAATTTAGCTTGACCATAATTTATAGACCACCATCTTTTAAGATCAGGAATTTTTTTGCCCAACTTGACCAATTACTAAATGACATCAAAACTTTTTCTTCTGAAATGTATCTGGTTGGTGATTTTAATATAGATTTACTTAATACACGGTCATATGGTGTTATTGAAGAATACCGGATGATTTTGACTTTTTTTGACTTAACTGTTAATGAAAGTGAAGCAACACGGGTAACAACAAAATCTTCGACATGCCTGGATCACTTCATATCGAATAAAAAAAGTGATGTTCAAGTTCTGAAAACATCTTTAAGTGATCATTACGCATTAAAATTTTCTCTCCCATTTTTTGTATTTGAACAAAAAATTCAAAACACTTCATACAGGGATTTGAAGCCATTGGTAAATGCGAATAATTTGCTGAAATTTCTTTTTTTATTAGACCAAAAATTGAAAAAATGCCTAGCTATTGAAAAAGATGTTGATAAAACAATTGCTATAATAACCCAAACAATTTTGGAAGTTTTTGATAAATTTGCTCCCGTGAAAAAGTGCACTACAAAAAATAAAAAACACTGGCTAACAAAAGAAGTTGTTGTAGCATGTCGAAGGCGAGATGAAGCTCACAAACTAATGATTTCAAAACCATCTATCGAGAATTGTAAAAACTTCCGAAAACAGAAAAATTTTGCGAAATCAGCCACGCGGAATGCTATTCGAAATTTTAATGATTCAAAGATGAACAATTGTTCCGATGCCTCGTCTAAGTTTAAGGTTTTCAATACCTTCTCTAATAAATACCGTGAGCAAAAATGTAAAATAGATGTTGACACAATGAATGATTTTTTTACCAATATTGGACAACGTCTGGCTGATAGCATAAAAAAAAACAGATAATTTTGTTTTTAAAAGTCCTTCAATTGAACAAACATGTGCGCTTCATTTCGCTGATGAAATTGAGATGAACAAAGTGATTACTTCTTTAAAAAACAAAGCTTCCTCTGGTCATGATGGTCTGAGTAATAATATTGTTCAAATTTGTGCACCAGTCATCGCACCCTACTTGACTTCAGTTTTTAACCAATGCATACATCTTGAAACATTTCCCGACTCGTTTAAAATAGCAAAAATTCTTGGGTTGCATAAGGAGGGAAGTTGGGATATTCCTAACAACTATAGACCAATCAGCTTGTTAACATCTTTCAGTAAAATTTTCGAGAAATTGTTATATAAGCGAATGATGTCTTTCGCAACAAAGTTTAAAATAATTTCTACTCAACAGTTTGGATTTCAGAAAAATCATTCATGTTTTCATGCCATCACTAAAATAACAGAATATATCAGGAAATCGATTGAGAGAAAACAGTACGGATTTGCTATTTTTGTAGATCTTAAGAAAGCATTTGATACAGTTAATCATGATATACTCTTTGAAAAACTGTGCCTATTGGGATTTCGGGGAAAATTTGGAAAATTGCTAAAGAATTATTTTCAAAATAGAAGACAATTTGTTCAAAATGGCTTAGAAATCTCGTCTTTAAAAAACATAACATGTGGAGTGCCACAAGGTTCAGTGTTAGGTCCCTTATTATTTTTGCTTTACATCAATGATATAACAGACCATGTTGACTACAGTGAAATAACTCTTTTTGCGGATGATACAACAATGATTGTAAGTGAATCATCAACCTCAATACAGCTAAACTTGCAAAAGGAACTGTCAAAAGTTGATGACTGGTGCAAAAGTAACAAACTTACCATCAACACCGGGAAATCTAAACTAATGTGCTTTGGAAAGAATTTCAGTAATCAAAACACTTTTTATATAGGAGAAAATAATCTAACCTATACTAGTTCTTTTAAGTATTTAGGAGTAACCATTGATAACAAATTGAAATTTTCTCAGCATATTGATTTAATTTGCCTTAAAATGGCCAAGTTCAATGGAATTTTGTATCGAGCTCAAAATTATTTCTCGAAAAATGCCTTAATTCTTTTTTACAAATCATATATCGTACCAGTAATATCATATGGACTCATGGTTTATGGATGCTCATCTAAGCAAAATCTCATGAAAATTTTAGTAGCCCAAAAAAAATTATTGGGCACCATTGCATTCAAAAGAAAATTTGAACATATATCACATATTTTTGAAGAACATAATATTGAAACTGTTCATAATATGTTTTTGAGGCAATTAGTGTCCGAAACAGTATTGCAGGTTCATGGAACATCACCGTTAAAATTCTTGGAAAAACATAACGTTAAGGCCAAAAGAATGACAAGGTTTTCGAGTAAGGGTCTCGTTAATTCTTTCTTTACGAAGTCGCGTATCACTGAAAAATCAATTGAAGGTAAAATAGTAAAATGCTTCAATTTTCTGCAAAAAAATGATCTTTTACCTACTGATTTGAAAAGTTATTCTAGTCATCAGCTCGCAAGATTCAAAAATCAGCTTTTCTTATTATATATCAGAGATAACAAGGTGTTGATGGAAATTTTGTTATAATATAGGCTAATTTAAGTATACTATTATCTCCAATTTTTTTTTCCGTTGCTGGGGTGCTACTTGATGGGCTGCACAGCCCGTACAGATACTCCTGTTGCATTATACATATAATTTCTTTATTATTGTGTATAATTGTATCGAATTCAAATTCAATTCAATTCAATTCAAATTCAATTCAGATTTTTTTGTCCCATTAATTTGAATCGATTAGCACGCAAAAATTTTATGACATCAAAAAGAATTAGGATGAAAATTTGCTGTGAACTAAGTTCAAACAAACTAAGACAAAAAAGTTATTCAAAATAAAAATGCTGGCAAAAATTTTTCGTTTTTTCGCTATCATCAAGTTCTGGTGGGTATAAAACGGAATTATTAGCCAGCCTAAGCTTGAAATGCAAATAAAAAAAAAACACTATACAGAAGGAGAATAACACATTAAAAGTACTAAATATAAAAAGCGCAAACAAACCAAATTTGTTATTTTGAAATTAAAAATTCTGAATTTACGAGCAAAGTATGAACTTAATGGTTTTAAACGATTCAAAGCTAGTTATGGATCTGCTAGCACTTAAGGCCTCCTAATGCCTTAAGCTTGCTAAATGCGTTATGATTATCTTGCTTAGAGAATTTATCGTTCTATAAAAATTTAGAGGCTAGAAAGCACTAAGCAAAATAAAACCAATAGACGAAAAAATTGACTGAAATTTACACCAAAAAATTTACGAATAAACGCATGACTCTAATTATCTTCTCAGGAAAGAATATGATAAGAACAGCAAGCCAATCAAGAAGCATCGAGGAAAGTTTTTTCGTGATTTTTTCGAATGTTTTTCAAAGAAGATTGGAGATGTGATTGCAAACTTCCTAACATACTTTATCCAAGTTGACTTAAATTGAAACACGACTGAAAAAAAACATTAAGCAAATCAGCTGACAGAATTAAAGCCGACACTTAATAAGCTGAAAAACAACCGA